CCCCAGGCACCGAGGCGGTCCGGCCGGTAGTCGCACCCCTCGCTCTGTCTCTCTCGCACTCGCGGAGCGTGCCTTTGGAGCCGCAGGGGTGCGAGAGAGACAGAGCGACGAGTCCGGGCGGCGGATCGCTCGACAGGGACAGGGTACGTAACTGCCAAAATGTGTGGGGGCGCCACAGGCAAGGGCCGCCGCAGCGGCGGGGAGAGGAATCGTAAGCACGGCATGCCACGGCGCGGCACGGCACGGCACGGCACGGCACGACGTGCCACGGCACGTATGCCCTGCAGCCCAGTCGAGTGGCCCGGCCGGCCCATCATTGCGGTATGATAGCACTCCCGGCGCCACGCCACGCCACGCCGTGCTCGGGGCTTTGGGGCAGGTGCGAGCAGGTGTGTGCCCTCAACAAGCCGCCCCGCCCCGCCCCGCCCCGCCCCTCGCTGGCCGAAGCACCTGGCTGAAGGCTGGCAGAACGCCGCCGTGGCTGCCAACACCGGGACGGCGTCGCCACGGCCGCCACGGCGTCGTCGTCTTGGTCGCGGCTGGGACACTGGGAAGCAGCCGCCCGATTCCGAAGAGTCGTGGCGCTCGGGGGGAGGGCGAGAGAGACAGAGCGACCAGACACGACCCCTCGGGATCAGGCGTCCTCGCCGCGGCGTCGCGGGCGCAAGTGCGGGGGACACCTACAGGTAGTGGGCCAAGTACCGCACTGTGGGAAAAAAATTATCAGGATTACAACGTCCAATGCGGTTGTCATGATCCCGGCAAAGTCAAGTACTTACGGTGGTCGCGCCGTCGCGGTCGGATTCTGGTGGCGCGGGGGAGGGGAGGGGAAGGGAGAGGGGGCGTCCTTGGCGGGGGGGGGGGGAGGGGGAGACGCCGTGATGTGGTGCCCAGGTGGCAGAGTTCAATTGCTTGGCGCGGAGCTCCTCTTGTTTTGGGTCTGACGACATACACTCACACACACTCACTCACACATGCTCACACTCTCACACACACATGCATACACATACACTCACGCTCTTACACTTTCACACACACACACACACACATCACACACACACAAGCCTTCACATTAGTACTTACGCACAGGTGCGCGCGTTTGCTGTACCTGACGCGGCGTTTCTGCTGCAACTCCTCCAGAAGCCCTTCCTGGCCCTGCACGGCCCACGTTGCTGCAGACTGATTCCGACGGCCGTTTTCGTCGCTCCGTCTCTCTCGCACCAATGGAGGACGCCCCCCGAGTGCGAGAGGGACGGAAACCGACCGACTCTCGGAATCAGTCTGCCGCCAGCAAGTCCACCGACTCGCACCGGCCAACGTTTTCGCACTCGAGGCGGATTAATTTATTCCGATCGGCGCGGGCAAGCCAAGCCGCTGGCAGGCCGCTCAAAATTCGAGGGAAATGTGAAATAAAAACAAGGATGGAGAGGTGGGGGAGGGGAGAGGGGGGACGGAGGATGAAGTGGATGAAGTAGCGAGCAGGTACAACACCTGCACACGGACACGCACACACATCAACACTCACACCGGGGACCGAGGCCTCGTCGGGGCCTCGTCGGGCAGGGGAGGGGGCGGGGGGCTCCGTGTCAGGAGCCACCACCTGACCAGTTGAAGGAAAGGGATCGGGGTTTGGTTGGGGGGGGGGGGCTTGCTGATGCCAATTAGCTGGGCAAATCCTGGGCGGGGCAGTGCAGTGCGTGCCACAGCCCTTCCCCTCGCGATTACGATCACAGCGGCACGGCGGCACGGCGGGCAGCGGGTCCATGTCGGCGGCACGGCGCACCGTGTACCAACGACCTTCGGGTCCCTTCGGTCCGTTCCGGCCCTGTGTTCCGGCATTCAGGCTGCCGAAAATGACATGCGGAGGATTCGACGCGGCGACGCGGCTCTGTGCGATGAATGACATCTGCATATGTAAACTAAGAGTGTATACGGACGGTACACGGTTGACTCTTACATGTCTTATAAGAGCATAGACAACATATGTTGTCAGACATGTGCTCTCTTCAGTTTGCACAAAAGATGGCGGTCGAGACGGTCGAGACGGCGCAACAACCGCCCTCCGCGCGTCGTTCAATGTTGCCGATGAAGATGATGGAGCCGGCGAAACAGGTCGCCTCGCGGGGCCGCGCACGCGGCTCGCGGGCCCCTTGAGCCAGCAAGCTGATTCTGAACTACGCTAATCGTCACCATTCCGTTGCCCTGTCCCTCTCGCGCCCCTACGGGGGGACATATGCGTCGCCCCGAGTGCGAGAGACGTGATAGCACGTCCGATGAATGGCGCGCCGGCGGCACCGCGGCACCCAGGGCGGGGCGGCGGGGCAGAGCGACTTTGTGCTCTTCATTGAGGAGACCGCCCCACCATCTGGCCATCTGGCGGGGCGGGGCGGGGCGGGGCGGAGGGTAGTCAGTGAGTGCAGCTGCGGCTCGCAGATGATAACCCTTGGCTAAACATAGCACCGCGGCGGCCTGCCGGCGGCCTGCGTGTTATCGGCGTCCCGGAATAAACAAGAAGCATCGGCGGCCTCCGCCACCTCTGACTCTCTGACCCCACGCGACATGACGGCGACCTGGCCGATGGGCATCCGGGAGCAGCGCGAGCAGCGCGCCATCTGTCGAGGCGGGCCGGCCGAGGGACAAGTGGCCAGGCCGGCCAGCCGCTTCGGCCACTCCTGGTGTGATAAGGGAGATTCGGGAGATCTTTTCCGATTTGTATAAAGCACTGCTCGCCCGGCGCGTCCCGAAACTCCCTAGAAACGATTTGTGTTTTCTTCATAGTTCATGGGAATCGACTTCCCTCCTCTGCTGCGAGGTGCTCATTGACCAGATTCGACGAATAACGTGGCGGATCGTTTCCGGCCCGGTTTTGGCAGTGCAGGCGCAAACACATGTGCTGGCCATTCTTTCCCGAAGTGCCTCCTCGTCAGAAATGGAAATGAGCTGCGAGCAATGAGCCCTGTGTTGTTGCACGGAGTGCCGCCCCTGCCCCGCCAGTGTGTGCCGCCCCTGCCACCCGCCTTTGAGGCCTTCCGCTGAAAGACAGTGCGGCAGCAGCAGCGGCAGCCGTGGAATGGCCATTACAAAGCGATGCGCAGCGTGCCGTCACAGAGACATCGCCTTCTAGTGTATGCACCGGAATTCGCTCACAGGCGCGTACAAAAATCGGAAAGGGGGGGGGGGTAGGGGGCTCATGACTTCCCCCTCTAGACCGGCTAAAAGGTGGCCAAATTGTGATACATCCTGGAGGCAGGCAAAAGGTGTAGCATGACCCCGCCCCTTCTAAAATTCCTGCGCACGCCAGGCGGCCAGTCGCGAGGCAACAGGTGGGTCCTGGTTGTGCCGGTTGTGCCCTCGGTCGTCCGCGTCGCGGGGCGCTACGGCACCGCCGGGCACCGCGCGTGGCGGCTGGCGAGGTGTCGCAGATCTGCGTGTCCGTCCCCCCCCCCTCGTGCTCCACCTCGTGCTCCTCCTCGTGCTCCTCCTCGTGCTCCACCTCGTGCTCCTCCTCGTGCTCCACCTCGTGCTCCACCTCGTGCTCCACCTCGTGCTCCACCTCGTGCCCCTCGTGCTCCCCTCTGCTCCCCTCTGCTCCTCCTCCCTCCTCCCCTCTTCCCCGCTCCACTCGTTCACGGCTCCACCCGGCCCTGGCCCTGAAAGGTAGACAAAGTCGCACATTACCCATGTAGGTAGGCAACTTTTGCCCCCCCCCCTCCCCCCGGTTTCTGGATCCGCGCCTGACCTCGTGAACCTCCTCCTCCTCGTGCTCCTCAACCTGCCCCTCTTCGTCTGATTGACACTCTTCGTTTGCCGGCCAAGAGGTCAAGCGGTCAAGCGACGACATAATCGCGACAGAACGACGGCCTGGCACGGCACGGCACGGCACGGCACGGCACGGCGCACGGCACGACACGGGCGAGTCGAATGCTTCGGGTCGGGTTCCGCGACCTTCCGGGGCAGCAGGCCGATTCCGAGAGTGGTTCCCGTCCGTCGCTCTGTCTCTCTCGCACCCATCGCACCCATACGGAACGCCACGTGAGTGAGAGAGAGACAGAGCGACGGAAACCACTCGGAATGAGTGTGCAGAGCACTCGATTGTCGCATCGACGACGTCGCGGTTGTCAGTCGGCCGCACAATGAAACAATCCGGATTTGCACGCGCGAGCCCTGTGTGCTTGTTTTACGCATGTCGCGCATGTGTGCGTGCGTTTCGGTGCGTTTAGAGCGAATCCGCGTCAAGCTGCAGTGCCGCCTGAAGAAGATGGCAATAAGTGGATTGATGTCGTTGCTTTCGGTCCGTGACTCCAAGGTCCGTGCTCTCGATTTCAGTTTCGGCTTCGCGACGTGCTCCTCCTGGGCTCCTGGGCGGCGAGAGCGACGGCCAAGCAGGCGAAGGCTCTCCCCCTCCCCTACCCCTTCCCCCTCGCACTTTCGGACGCCTTGCGGCCTGGGCCGCACCGCGGGGCTCTCGGACAATCACTTGGCGTCCCTCGAGCTTGTTTGCCGATATTTATGACTTCCCCGCCCCGTTCCCCGTTGGCAGCATTGGCAGTCGTTTTCGTCGCTCTGTCTCTCTCGCACCTATGCGGGACGCCCCATGAGTGCAAGAGAGACAGACTGACGAAGACGACTCTCGGAATCAGTCTGCAGCATTGGCAGAGCGTCTCGAAGGACTGCAAGGACGAGTCGAGCATGTCTCTTGACGCTTTGCACGTCCCAGAGGGGCCAGCCGGCCAGGGACTCCAGACGCGGTCCGGACTCCAGACGTGGCTGACGAGGCGAGTGACGAGTGCAGCAAGCATCCAATGCATGATGCCGAGACCGCGCTAGAGACCCTGATGCCGCGGCGGCTGGCCGGTTGCCTCGCCGCGCTGGACCACTGTAGGACTCCAGTCCGCCTACATGCCGACGCCCTACCCACCCTAAAAGTAGAGTCACGTCAAGGACTCCACCGGAAAGTAGCTCCAATGCGGTGACTCACTATTCGCCCCTTTCTGTCGCAGATGTCGCTGTGTTCGGCCGAGGAGGACGGCGGCTCCCTGGACGTGGAGGACCACGACGACCTGCACTCGCCGACGGACGTGAGCGAGGACTCGGTGGAGGTGCGCGTCAAGCCGATCGTGATCCCCGCCGCGAAGGCGTCCGCCAAGGCGGCCCTGGCCGCGGCCAAGCGCAAGCAGCCGGCGCAGGACGGCCGCGGCGCCGAGAAGGCCGAGAAGCGCGGCCCGCAGTCGCCGTGCCCGTCGCCGTGCCCGTCGCCCAAGCGTGCCTGCCGGCGGCCCTCCTCGCCGCTGTCGCCGTTCCGGCCGTGGAGCGTGCCCACCTCGACGCCGGCACCCGCCGCCGTCGCCCCCGCCCCCTTCGCCCCCTTCGTCGTCGCGCCGGTGCCGACGCACGCGGCCAGCGCGGCCGCGCCGCAGGAGGAGCCCCTGGCGCTCGTCAAGACGAGGGTGTCCACGGCCACGCCCACCGTGCTGGTCGTGCCCCGCAGCCCGCGCGGCGCTCGGCGCGAGCACGCCGCGGCGCGGAGGCCGCCGCCAGCGCCAGCGGCCGCGACCGCCAAAAACGACCTCCTCGGCGTCGCGGTTCAGCGTCGAGTCCATCATCGGGGACGTGATGGCGGCGTCCGCGTCCGCGCCCCCCAGGCCGCCGTGTCCGCCGTGTCCGCCGCCAGACCCCGCGGAGGGCGGCAGCAGCTCGCGGCCCGCTGCTGGCTTTTCTGGCGCCCCCAGCGGGCCGAGCGGGGCCGGCCAGCACAGCCAGCACAGCCAGCAGCGGAACTACAAGAACATGACGCGCGAGAGGCGCATCGAGGCGAACGCCCGCGAGCGCACCCGGGTGCACACCATCAGCGCGGCCTTCGACACGCTGCGCCGCTCCGTGCCCGCCTACTCGCACAGCCAGAAGCTGTCCAAGCTGTCCGTGCTGCGCATCGCCTGCTCCTACATCCTCACCCTGTCCAGGGTGGCCGGCATGGACTACTCGGAGGACCAGAGCAGCCCTGCGGTCGAGGAGTGCGTAGACCAGGTGACCAGGACCATCCAGACTGAAGGCAAACTGCGGAGGAAGCGCGACGAGTAGGTCTTGCGTCTTGCGGGCCAGCCCTGCGTCCAGGACCGTCACTAGTGCGCACCCAAGTTTGCCGCCAACTATTTGTTAAGACTGCTAGCGTAGTCGCACTCTGATAGTGGGGCGCGGTTGTCTGGTTCTCACCGCTGCTCTTGCAGAGGGAACTTGAAGTCTCTCCGACACCTCACGTGAGTGTCAAATAGAGAGTACTACAACTTGTTTCCAACTACAGCTTGAAGCATTTTTATAGTATTTATATGCTGAGAACAATATTTATTGCTCATAGTAGTTTCCACCAGAATGCTCAAATGTTTCACTAGGGGAAGCAAATTTAGTGTTTACACCATTAGAATAATAATGGTACAAAAAACTTCTTGCAAACAAAGTACTGTACCAGAAATGCCTGACGCGGTCCTTTCAGATACGGTGTGGACAAGTTTTTCAAAACATTGAAATCAAAATTATGTTAGTTTATTTTACCTCATAATTACTCATTAGTATATGAATTCTAGGTCAAAATGAAATGCTCATGACAGCAATTAGTGCAGCTCATTCTCCATTGTGACTAGAATACAGCTTTTTTAAGCAGACTGACTGGAGTCTTAATTACAACATTGTGATTTGTTCTTGTTTCTCAATGCTAATTCGTGTAGGTTTAGCAGCCATTGCATGCATGACATTTAGGTGTTAAAATGTATTGTTTAAAACAATAATTTTACCTAGTAGGAGCATTACATTTGTGTCTAGATTCTGATATCTCTCTCTTTATCTCGTTTTGTTTCAAGGAGGAGGAGGAGTTGAGGGAATGGGAATTATTATTATTTGGATTGAACCATAAATATTAAAATTTTGTCTTGTATTGGAACAAACCAAAAATATTATTGGTTGCATAAGAATGTATCTTGTTTTCAAATTGAAAAATCAGTGTCCCTAAGCTCTCTTTGCCAAGTACTGAGGAAGGTACAGTGCCTATGTCTATCATGGTTCAATGGCTATATTTGTCTCATTGTTTGTGTGGTGACGCATTCTGGATAACAAATTTTAACCACATTTGCCTACCGTTAGACAATTATAGTGGAGGAGCCACTGAGGATGTGGGGACTAGTATGATGAGACCCTCCTATACTAGGTAATACGTTTGTTTCTCTTTGTTGTATGCTGTGATTAGATTGTAATCCTGATGTACAAAATAAAAAATAATGGAAGCCTTGCTAAATTGTTAAAGCATGGATTTCGCACATTGTTTCAAAAGTTAAATGTTGTTGTATAATGTGAGACATTCACGCTTCCTTTAGAACCTGGCTATGACATGTTGTGATATTTATTCCAAATATATGAGTTTATATAATGTTGCCTTTATTTCTCGACTTTTTTTTTGCCTTGTTGTCAGCTTTGCCCATATAAATTTCTGCACAAGATATTAATATAACCCGCTGTAGCTAACAGAATGTGTGTCCAGCCTTTGGTTCAAGCCACAGCAATGACTAATGCAATGCAACACATTTATTAAAGCAGAATGTAGAATATTTCTTATCCTTAACATTAATGTTCCATCAATAGGAGCTCATCTCATATTAGTGTACACTTTCACAAAAAGTAATGTAAATGCCATGATGTCTATTAAGGCTTGAAGCTAAAAAGTAAATGTTGGCTCTTGTAAAAGAAGGGGCCGTTTGACAAGGGCCAAACACAGAACAAGGATTTTTAAAACCTATTTCCATTTTTAATAAAAAATTTCTTTGAGATTCAAGCTGCTGTTCAGAAGTAGCTTTCACTTTGAAAGAAGTCCCTGAGAACAATGGAATGATGATTGAAAACTGCATTGCATATTGGCTATAGGTGTGAATCAGATTTTCAAACAAAAAGATAACAAGACTCTTTCCGTAATTATAAAGTAAGAAGAAAAAAATTGGTGTGTGAGTTTTACACAGAACTCCACAAAGATGCCAATTCAACCATAACAAAGGTAATTTGACACCTAGCATGCACACACTTTTTATTTCTCAACTTTAAAGGGCTTATATGTGTCCCCTTTATTTTTTGAACACGACAAAAACCTTAACAGTCACACATATATCATAGAAGTTAAAAATTCAATATGTGATATGTCACCTAGAACATAACTACCTACTAAAAGAAACACCGCACATCACTCAAAATAAGTTTTGTATTTGGCTTTAAACTACAACTCATTTGACGTTGGTCAATGTGTAAATGTGAGTTGTAAATGAACACCCTTCTTGACAGTTCATTGTGGCTCTCTCACTTAGAAATATTAATTTCACTGGAATCACAATAATCCAGCCTCAGTTTTTCCTTATTTCATGAATGGTCTAAATGGTAGCACCCGAAGAATAAGAGAGAAAAAACATTTAAAAACAAACTCAGCACATACAGCACAAAGAGAGTCAATAAACAACAGTCCAACTTATATAAAAACATGAAATCCCCAAAACAAGGCACAAACAAAGCAACTTAACAATAACAATAAGGTATTCTTTTCACTACTCAATCTACCTGGAACATACTGCTGCAGCCAATCACACTAGTTAATATACTACACTTGTTCACCATTTCCAATGTTATGACTGCTTAACCTTTCTTAAACTAACTCAGTCTTCCAGATGTTGAGCTTACCTGTATGAAGCAATAAAGGAACCTCAATCTTTCAATTGGAAAAAAAAATCAACCTCGTCATTTAAAATACTGCTGGCAATTAGGTTGAGAGGGGAGAGGAGATGATTAGGAATAAAACAAAAACTATTGCAGTTAATGTAAAAAAAAAATAAATTTAAAAAGTTACAAAGGATTGCTCCTACAAATCATTTTTAAAGGACGCAACATTTAAAATACCAGGTCAGGTTGTACAAAGTACTTTATCACAGTCAAACACGTTGACAAGGAATAATAAATGACTGAACTAGAACTAATCCATATTTGATGGACAACTAGCTAATTATGAACTCTCAGATGCTGGTCTCAAGTGGATTTCTCATTCCTCTTACATGAAGTTAAGGTCCTTTGTATCTATTCCTTGAGAGCTTTTGCGGGGCGATATGAACATTTAGTATGTGTCTAAGAATGACACAAGTGCTAAGTACATTTTCTAAAATGCAAAAAACTTGGGAGCAAAGCAGTCTGGAACAAAATCAGACACCATTGTTTAAAACTACTGGTGCGCTAAGATCTTGCGCACAAACTTGAAAATTACAAACCCAACATAGTCGTGCTCCCAATTCATAATTTCCCTTTCAATAAGTTCAGTGCTCTGATACTTTTTGAAATGGAAAGGAACAAGGTTCTGACTAAAAGCTAGTTTTCTGCGGGAAAATCATACCTATTTTTTTTTTTCAATTTTTGGTGATAACCTCCCCCATTAGATACACATCTTTGACCCAACAAGGACTTCTTATTTTCAAAATCACTCATGAAAGAATGAGGGTTCTAAAACCTACATAGGATTTACAAGAAACCTGCTAAGGACCAGCAATAAGTAAGTCAGGTTTATGTTTATCACTCAATGCTAAAGTAAATTTCAAACAAATGGAAAAAAGGGGGAAAAAACAGTAGAAGAGGTATTCAATATAGTTGTTTGTTTCTAACAATGTCAATAGAACTAACTTTCCATTGGAACACCTAGCACAACCACACACCTTTCTTCTTTGACATGAAGGATAAAAATAGCTGCACGAACCATTGATATACTAAGGAGAGGATTGATAAATATTTTTTCATATCTGCCCACATTCAGCATAACACACACTGAAGCAACCATAAAGAAGAACCAGCTTCCTGGTATCCTACATAAAATGGAACATTCATTCCAAGAAATAATTATATTAATGCCCAGAGGCCATCCTATCATTGTACCTAACAGACCGTAATCTCAAATATTTGAGCTCAAACAAAAACATACTTGCTTTAACTCTTTAGACAGCACAGTTGTGCTTGAGCTATACTTTCTAATTTGCTCAATCTCTTTTGCATCCCTCTTTTTCAACACACCAATCAAGAGCAGCAGAGTACGGTAGGAATTAAGCTAACACTTGTTCAATCACAAGATGTGAGATCACAAGATTTGCTTCTGATTTTACATTCAAAAAAAGAAAAAAATCTTTATCAAGAGTTGTGTGTTATTATTAATATTATCACAAATTTTAAGATTAATGGCAACACATATGGCACAAATGAAATAGGAGCCATACCTAATGAAAACAGCTTGCTTAGGATCATCACACACCATTCACGCGCGACACCAGTGTCGACACTGGTCTCACTCATATACTTAACTATGCTTTGAAAGTACGCACAATTCGAACAACAAACTGACGGCAAATTGGGCATTCACTTAGTTGTCGCCCGCAATCGGTGCATGTAGCCATATGGCCACATTCTAACATGACGCATTCCACAGGAGCGTCCATGCAGATTTTGCAGAGAGCATCTAAATCAAGCTTTTCTAGTTCTGTAATGAAAATGATAATTTACAATCAAGTTTACGAAATAAAAACAACTAATTGCTGTTCAAAAGTTGATTAAATACCTGCTCTTGATGCCAAGTAGTCTCGATAAAGCCTTTTAGCCCTTTCTACCAATTCTGCCTTTTCACAGCATCCATGGTAATTGACACGATGACGATGAAGAATATCTTTTAATTGTTTGACAGAAAGCGCTTCAAAGTCAGTCTCAGATGTAATAGATGACATGGTACCCCGAATTAAATTCTAAAACAGGAAGAAAAAATGAGAGAAAAAAGTCACAGCTGTGTGTGTTGATGAGCTAAATAAATAAATTAGAAGCCACAAGAGGAAAGATGTTTCAATGGCTTACCGGAGAATTATTGGACGAACTGGACTGTGAAATGGACTGCTGTGGATTTACTTCTAGAGTCTCAAGATGTGTTTCATTGTGTCTTTCAGATCCCTGTGCAGCCTCAGAGGCTCCCGCAGCACTATTCAAAGGAGACTCAGCAGACAAGGACGCCAAATCTAATGGAAACAAAGAATAGTTACAAATCTCAATGCTGCCAACATAATACCAAACTTGCAGCTAAAAACCATGACAAGAATGATGTATACAACCAAACTTACTTAAGGCAGCATTTGGATTTTCTTCTTGAGGTTGTGCTGGTACATCCACAGTTATTCCTGGTTCAGTGTCTGAAACTGGTGAAGGTGAAGAAGAGGATGTGGATGTAGATGACGAATGGGCCCCAGCGATGTTCTCATTAGAACTGGGTCTTGGAACCATCTCAAAGCTAGTATCACTACTACTGGAGTCAGAATCTGCTGCAATACAATAAAAAAAAAAATCAGCATAATCAGAAGGAAACAGGAGCAGCCTTTAGCAGTGACTAGGGAAAAAAATATCCCTTTAATACCTGGTTGAGGTCTTGAATGTTCTTCTCCAGGTGCTGATGAGAGTGGAGTAGTGTTGGATGGCCCAGAACTACTAGCAGGATAACTAGCAGGAGGGCTTGTGGCATTCTCATGCTGAATATTTCTTGAATTCCCAGCTGGAGCATAACTTGAGCTTCCTGAGGGAAATCCAGGGTTCCCCGAGTTTGGATTTCCAGGATTACTAGCATATCGAAGTACTACATTTACCAAATCTTCCTTTTCTAAAGGCATTATTTAAAGAAAATATTAACAGGTTCACATCAAACAGACCTCTTGTAAGAAAAAGACAAAGTCGACATACCCAAGCAGCCTCTGGTTGAAACATTATGCTGATTCAAGTAATGCTGCAGATCTTTTATCCGCAAGTTCAGAAGAGCTGAACGAAGGGGTGGTCTCATGCAGAGGATGTAACAATTTTTACAGTGCAGGGTACGATCTCTACCACGGAGCAGGCACTGGGAGCAGAACTGCTTCTTGCATTCAAGACATGGTTTCTGAAAACAAGAGTGAATGTTGTCAGCTTTCAAATGTTAAACAATGCAGCTGCAGACAGACCCAAACAAACCAATAACTTGACACAAAATGGTACATTCATAGAGAGGCAAAAATTACTTACTTTCTTTCTGAACACACTTAGTTTAGTGCCACAAATTTCGCAAACTAAAGTTGAAACAGTAGAAGATGACGAGGTTTTAAAGAGATCAATAAGAGATGAAAAAGTCTCTTTAGCCATGTTTCCAAAAAGATATTTTGCAGCCAAACTCTGTAGAAATTGCCTGGAATGAAAATATAAAATGAAATGACAAACAAAGGTCCACAGGTAAATGAAAAGCCGCATTGGCAGGCATCGGGAGCACTGCTAACAGGAGTAAAAAAAATACTACATTGAACAATGTGTAACGCAAAACAGCTTATGTTGATTTCAAAATATTTGACCGATCACATTTGAATGGCAAATAAAATACAAACAAAATGAATGGATTTGAAGATAGTGAAGGGCCTTTTTGAAACAGACGGCTATCATGTTTCATGTGGAATAGACTTAAGAGAGTGGTACTGTGCATAACATGAGGAAAAAAGTCTGAGGAATACACCAAAATTTAGGGATTTACTGCGCATTTCAAGGAAATATGATAAGCAGAATGACGATGACAATGAGTCACCACGACCGAGGGGAATGGTCTTCGGATTTGTTCTAAAATGGAAAACCCCCACGACTGGAACGAAATGCAAAGAAAATAAACACATACGTTGGATGATGACGCTACCTTTTCACAACAGTCTAAGGCTTATCTCTGTTAAATCAAACGCCATAAATTGGCGACACAGGCCACAGGCCACTTGCTCGTGTAAACAAAACACTCGGATAGCCACCGCCTGTTCCTTCCTTTCTTCTCCGTCGCCAGCAGACACATTTCTCTCTACAAGGCGGTGCACAGTTGACGTGTTAACGCCGAGTGTTTTTGGGTTAGACGGGACTAATCTGTCTGCTTCGGCCGTGGCAATTTTCAGCTAAACGTAACAATGGCCTTCAAAAGAGACAAGAAGGAAGAGGAAGATGGTACGTGTTTCTTTCATTCAATTTGCTTTTACATAATCAAGGGCCATAGGATCGGTGCTTGTACAAAAGTGTCAACCGGGTACTAGTCAAGCTGTCATTCTTAGGTGGGAAAGTAAACACTCTTTTAGAGATTCTGTACAATTTACACTCTTTTAATATCTGCTTGTATGAAAAAACGTGTATTCTGCCATGTGTTATTTTTTCCTACATGTCAAAATTATGTGTCAGAAATTGTTGGTAGCCTTAACCCCTTTTTATATGTTGTATGTTTTTGTTATTAATATGGGTTTGTTTTATATCTTATCTTAGTTTGACACGGCTTCTATTCAGTGTGGCATAGTATTTCTTATTGGACCATCTTTCTTTGTAATGAAGTTTAATGAACGGAAGGTCTGCATGTTTTTTATTTGTTTATGTTTTGTGTGCCTAATGTTTGGTTTGTTCTCACATTTACAGGAGGTGGCAATCCATTTGAAAATATCGAGAAAACTTCTGTGCTCCAAGAGGCTCGTGCTTTCAACGACACATCAGTTAATCCTCGTAAATGTACACACATCCTGACCAAAGTGTTGTACCTTCTGAACCAGGTACGACACGACTCCAAACAGATTAATTTCACGATATGCTGAGATCCATGGATCTGTGGAGAGGCCACACAGTAGTTACATTTATCTTGTACCATTCTATCCACAACAGTTTCAATTAAATGTTAAATTATTTGGCAAGATTTAGAAACTTACTGTCTACTGGCTGCTTCGATTTTACAGGGTGAGCAGCTTGGTACAACAGAGGCAACAGAAGTTTTCTTTGCTATGACCAAATTATTCCAGTCAAAAGATGTTGTTCTGCGCCGCATGGTGTATCTTGGTATCAGAGAGCTATCTTCCATTGCTGAGGATGTTATCATTGTTACATCATCTCTCACTAAGGATATGACTGGCAATGAGGCTCTGTACAGAGCTGCTGCAATCCGTGCTCTTTGCTCCATCACTGATGTAAGCCAATCCTTATTTTATTTCCTTGTTTAATTTTTATTTGTATACATAATAGCCTTTTGGGTACATCTTTATTTATAATGGCTGATTGTAGGTTACAATGCTGCAAGCAATAGAGCGCTACATGAAGCAAGCTATTGTTGACAAGAATCCAGCAGTAAGTAGCGCTGCTCTTGTAAGCTCACTTCACTTGGCACGTTCTGCCGGTGAACTTGTGAAGCGTTGGGTGAATGAGGCTCAAGAAGCGTTCTCTTCTGACAAGTATGTATTGTGTCACTTTATTTCTCAAATTGGCCTCTTTTGTGTTTCTAAACTTGATTTCTTGATTTCTGGCAGTGTGATGGTGCAGTACCATGCACTTGGATTGATGTACCACATCCGTAAGACAGACAGATTGGCTGTAATAAAACTTGTGACCAAACTTACCAAGCAATCTTTGAAGTCTCCATTTGCTGTTTGCTTGCTGGTTGGTATACCTGTTGAATAAAATTTTAAACCCACATTTAATTTGCAAATAAATAGCCACCTAATCCATTTTTTTTTTCTGTAGATCAGGATTGCATGCCGCCTTCTGGAGGACGAAGACGGTGCTCCTGGTGCTGACTCTACTCTTCTTTCCTTTATTGAGAGCTGTCTTCGTCATAAAACTGAGCTAGTTATCTATGAGGCAGCTCATGCTATGGTCAACCTCCGGCGCACAACAGCCAAAGAGCTTGCCCCTGCAGTCTCCGTGCTTCAGTTGTTCTGTTCAACATCCAAGCCTCCACTGCGTTTTGCTGCTGTGCGGACTCTGAATCAGGTAACTGTTTTGGCAATTTACACATATCCATGTTTTTATGGTTTCACATCTGGCTAAAGATGATCTTATCTGTTTAAAAGGTGGCTATGTCTCATCCATCAGCTGTTACTGCTTGCAATTTGGACCTGGAAAATTTGATCACAGACTCTAATCGTTCCATAGCAACTCTTGCTATTACTACATTGTTGAAAACAGGTGCTGAGTCTTCTGTAGATCGCTTGATGAAGCAGATTGCTTCCTTTGTGAGTGAGATCAGTGATGAATTCAAAATTGTGGTTGTTCAGGTATGTTTCTTATGGTGATTCAGTTGTCGTCCCTATTGCATTTAATATAGGAATTTTGACTCAAATTTTAAATTGTTATCAGGCTATCCGAGCTTTGTGCACCAAGTTCCCTCGCAAGCACAGTGTTCTTATGAACTTTTTGTCTGCAATGTTGCGTGATGAAGGGGGGCTGGACTACAAGGCTTCCATTGCAGATACCATCATTACCATCATTGAAAGCAACCCAGAAGCAAAGGAAACTGGTACTGAAATCATTTGTTCATGCCTTTCAAAACTGTAATATTGACGAGGAAATTAATGGATTCTCCTTTTTAATTCAGGCCTGGCACATCTTTGTGAGTTTATTGAGGACTGTGAACACACCAGCTTGGCTGTACGAATCCTCCACTTACTGGGCAGAGAAGGACCAAAGACAAAGCAGCCCTCAAGGTAAGCTTAATTCCTCACCTCAATATTTTTTCTCTAAATTGAAATTAAAGTTGATTTTCTATTTTTCTTTGTTTCAGATATATTCGCTTTATTTACAATAGAGTAATCTTAGAAAATGCTGCCGTACGAGGTGCTGCTGTTGCAGCAATGGCCCAATTTGGTGCCCAGTGTCCTGATTTGCATGAGAATGTGCAAGTACTTCTGGCCCGTTGTCAAATGGATTCTGATGATGAAGTTCGTGATCGTGCTACTTATTACTACACAATCCTTGCACTCAAAAACAGATCACTTTACAACAGCTACATAACAGAAAGTCTCCAGGTTTGTCTGTTTTTTTGCATTCCTAATTATCACATTGTTTAAGGATGGGAGGGTGGAGAGCAACTGAATTGTGTGGGCCAGCAATGGTGATGCTGTCAGTGTTGGCATGCTGTGCGTGTGAATGATGTGTGGGCATGTGAATGGCACAGGATGCTGCTGCTGTCTTTTCTAGATTTAGTTCTTGAGACATGCTTGAGAGTTCATTTGGAACCATTTTTTGTGGCAGGTCTCCATTCCAGCTCTGGAGAGATCCCTTCATCAATATACACTCAATGCTACAGAAACACCTTTTGATATGAAATCAGTCCCATTGGCTGCTGTTGAACCTCTTGTGTCAGAAATTGTGGCTCAAAAGGCCGTTCCTGAGGGAACCATAATGTCAACTCCAGGTAAAACTTTTGACACAAATGATACTGAGTTTTTGAAAAGGTTGTCAGCCCTTATTTACCCTTTCCTCTTTTCTCTCCTGCAGCTCCACAAAGGCTAGGTGTCTCTAAAGAAGAATCTGCTCTTGAGCTTGTGTCGAGCATTCCAGAAATTGCTGCTCTCCTCCCCCAACTTGGCCCTATTTTCCGTTCTTCTGAGCCAGTTGAGCTTACAGAATCTGAAACTGAATATGTAGTTCGCTGTATCAAACACTGCTTTGCTAGACACCTTTTACTCCAGGTGAGTATCAGAAAAAAAAAAGTATTGATACTTTCTTTGTCAAAAACTATGTGTAAACCTTGTTTTTTTTTCCTCCATTCCAGTTTGATGTTCTTAACACATTAAGTGACCAACTACTTGAAAATGTCCGTGTTTCCCTTGAACCAGCTGAAGGGTACAGAATTTTAAGAGAGGTTCCTATTCCAAGATTGCCCTATAGTGAATCATGTTCAGCATTCTGTTTACTTGAATTTCCTCAAGATGATTTATCAGCCTCAACTGGTGAGTTACCAATTTGTTCTTGACTCACTTGAGCATAGTGAGTGTGTAACTCAATTTTATGCTGTGAAAATTTACAACTGTATTGTGCTCTAAACAAATACTAATTTGATTATTTTCCCAGGCACATTTGGTGCAACATTAGCATACATGGTGAAAGACTGTGATCCTGCAACCGGTTTGCCCGATTCAGATGAAGGCTATGACGACACCTACATGGTGAGATTATTTTGTTTCTCTTCAATAATGTATTTCTTGAAAAAAGAAAAAAAAATGTTAACGAACCTCCCATTGTGTGATTTAGGTGGAAGATGTTGAAGTTACTTTGGCTGATCAAGTTCAACGAGTTTGGAAGGGTAACTGGGCTGCAGCTTGGGAAGAAGCTGCCAACTTGTGCGAACTGGAAGATACCTATGCTCTGACCAGCATGCGAACATTGCAAGAGGCTACAACTAATATTGTGCAATTCCTTGGTCTACAACCTGCAGACCGCTCTGAGCGTGTCCCTGATGGTAAAAGCAACCACACGCTGTACTTGGCTGGTATGTATCAAATTACCTCAATTGTTAATTGTGGAAGTTAAAAGGCATACTTATTTGCATCGCTTTTTTAATTCATAAGGTATCTTCCGCGGAGGCCACGACGTGTTGGTGCGTGCCAAGCTTGCGTTGGCTGATGGTGTTACAATGCAGCTTACTGTGAGAGCCAGCACACCGGATGTGGCAGAACTTGTCACATCTGCTGTAGGCTAAACTCTGTCCACATTTAATCAAACATAGTGAATAAAACTGAAATAATTAAAAAGAAACGAAAGAGAGCAGATGAATGAAATTATTGTTTGTGATTTCCTGGTTTCAAAGTGTATCAGCTGCTTCAAACACTTTGGGGTGAAATTGAAGCTTTCAATGGATTTAACTCCAAGTTCAACTCTGTTAGGAAGTCTCATTTATTTCAGAGAATTGTTTTGAGAAAGATAAATCATTTCCACTGTTAAGTATTTTATGAATAATTTGCTATTGGTACAGAATTTTAGAATGTGATTGTCTGTTATTGTATGTACATTTAATAAAGTATATAAGTTGATAAAATCAATATCATTCCTTCCCTTTAAAGGAAGGAGCATTTCCCACCCTTTAAAAAACAATTTGGAACAGTACACAACATACAAACAATTACTTCGCATCCGCAGGCTCAAGGTCTGATATATAATGTGAATGTTTGCTAATAATGGCAGCTAGAGGATCTTCGGCTTCATTAAGGAAGGGGTCAAATTCCGGACCAAGAGCCCACAATGATTCTAAATCATAAACAGCTCGAGTATGTTTGGAAAATAGATGTAGAATTATATTGCCTGAAAAGAAGATAAGGAAAGCCTTTGAATGAAGTTTTCAAAAACAAAATTGTCAACAGGGATAGAAAATTAATACCTTACCTAAGTCAAGAGCAAACCAATTATCACTTTTGTTACTTTTTCCCTCAACGTGTGGTACCAAATCATGTTTTCCAATTTTCTTCTTGTACACAAGGCGAACAAAACTGGCTAGGGCTTTCAAATGACGAGAAGATTTTCCTGTTACAATGACCATTTGCTGTGCCAAGTTTGTGGTAGAGTCCATTTGAATAACTACAATGTCTTCCGCATTCTTGCTTTTAAGAATGGAAACTAATTCGTCAATGTCAAAAACTCCATGCACACCCGCTGGAACATTATTGCAACACGATGATAGAATTAGTTAGTAAATAGCAATCAAAATCAAAGATCACAATCAAGGGGTTCTTACGTTTGAAAGAAATGGCATCAAACTCATTTTGTTGAGTCACATGGGTCTCATTGACTGATCGTGAAACTAAACGCTCCTCTTCTACATCCAATATTATGGGTGAGTCTTCATCTTTAAAAACTTTGTACTTCGATGTCAAATTACCACTTGAAGCAAATTTCTTCTTTTCTTCTTCAACGTCAAAAATTTCAATGACTTCGTCATCATTTGAAATGTTGTTTTCTTTTGCTGTTTTTCCTTCTTTGAAAGGTTTGTTGTTGTCTTTGGAAAAACATCTCGTGAAACCAGAGAGTGTAGCTCTACTGTGTTGTTCACTGGCAGCAAGATTTAACACATACGAGGGTCGATTGATTAACCTACTTGTATCACTTAGGATCCGTAACAAATGTGTTTTAGCAAACATAATAACGAATATTGAGACAAAAGTATAAAATTCAACAGGTTATGTTTTCTATCTAGCAGACGACTATGAAAAATTTTGAAATGTGCACAGCTATTTTTCATAGCTGCCTGTCTGCTACAGAAAACATAACCTCTCAAATTCTCAAAACATTTTCTAACAAAAAAAAACTAGAGTTGACATTTATCTCTTTCAACTTATTTATTATGAAAGTAAATTTTTATTTCAATTTTTTCACTTGTGTGTTTTAACAAAATGAGAGAAAGCTGAAGTAACTATATCTCCAGAATATTTTTACCACAATTCATAAACTCATGTAATGAACTCAATCAAGAACTGTGATAGTAACCCAAGTGAAAACTCTTCCTGCTCTTCTAATGAACGAGCAAAAATCGTGTTTACGATACGAGATGGGAGCCTCCTTGTCACTTCCAAAAACGACGTGGTATCCAAGAGTGCGCTCACTGGTTTTCAATGTCTGCCGTTTAAAAATTCTAAATCAAAAGAGGAAGGTGAAGGTGAAATTTATATTGAAATAATTCGAGATGATGTCGAACAATATGAAGAATATCCTATCAACAACATCTCATCATCATATGGAGCGTTTTGGAAGGGAGATTTTGAATCGTGTATTGACAGACGCACATGCATAGAGTGCAAACATGTTTTGTTTACACCTCATCAACTCCTGCATCATATGCAGAACACACATAATATTCAAAATCCCAATGAGGTAATTAACTTAGAATTTACCTATCATTTTTTAAAATTGAAATTATCCTAATATCTCCTTTTTTTGCACAGTGCTTTGTCTGCCATAAACTTTTTTCTAATGGTTCTGAGAGCAATAACCACATGAAACAAGTTCACCACTTTGAGAGACCTGATGTCACCTGTGAAGCATGCTTTAAAGTATTTGATAGTGAATCTGATAAAAACATTCACAGAACCCGTCATAGTGAAAGATTAAATTGCAAATGGTGTTCTGAGCCGTTTCCTTGCGAATACCTTTTAAACTATCATCTTCGAAACTGCTCACTTCGTCGAATCGACCTAGATTGTCATATCTGTGGCTGCCAATTCAGAAGCAGCCATATATTACAGCTGCATAGTCTGAGACATAATCGTAACTCTTGTGAACTTTGTCAGTACAGTCCACTAAATGTAGCTGATGCACTGGGTGAGGATGCTGCTGTTTCATTAGTAAAACATTTGAAAAATTGTCATACCCAGGAAGAAATTGATAGTATTTTGAAGAAGTTAAAAATACAGGATGAGGAAGAAGAGACCTTAGATAAGCTTTTCATGAGTCAAATTGAAGAAAATTTAAACCAACTAAGTGATTCTATTCCTCAAAACTGTGCTGACGATCCTCAGAAGGAACAAAGTTGGGAAATATCCCTTGACAACCAACAAGAAATAATTTCTAGACATGCTGTAAGTATTGTTCTTTGGATCAAAATAAATTTGAAGTCATGTCTTTTAAAATACTGCAGTGCTTTTTAATTAAAATTATTTATTTGTTGATTGCTAGGAAGCATCACTGCAATGCACTGAATGCCACAAAACATTTGGAAGCAAAGAAGAAACTGTGAAACATGAGTTGACTCACCAAACCCCATTTTCTTGTAGTGTATGTTCTTTAAAATTTTCACACCGCAGAGGCTTCAAAAAGCACATGCGTTCACATGGTATTCTTGTGAAACCCAGTTCTGTAAGGTTAGTGAACTTTCTGGGCATCATTTTACAGCACTTATTGAAGTTTTTGCCGATTATCTGAAATTGAAATGAAATGCTTTTGTAAACTTTCCAGATACACTTGTAGACATTGCTCTGTGAATTGTGCAACCTTGTCTGCACTTCATACACACCTCCTTATTCATACTGATGAAAAGCCACACCTCTGTGAAAAATGTGGCTTAAAATTCAGACGGCCTAATGTAAGCTCTGCTTGTTTACTTTTACTCGTTCTTAGATGTTTATAGTTTTGTAGTGTTTACCAAAAGTGGTCTCTATTCTTGTGAAAAAGATAAAAGTATTCAATACCATGTATTTAAGACATGAATTCCTTACCTCCTGCTGCTAAAAATGTCTTTGCTATTCACTTCTTAAAAATCTACTGAAAATTTGTATTTTTATTACAGGCTCTCAAAGCTCATGATCTTGCTGTCCACAAGTCAAGGGTCTTGCATCACTGCTCTCAATGTGACACCAAATCTCTTTCAAAATCTTCTTTACTTCGTCATATTCAGTGTGTGCATGGAGGAGTGCGACGTTTTATTTGTGGGCTATGTGGTAATCGTTGTCTGCAAAACCAAGGTTTGAGACGACATCTGAAGAGTGAGCACAATTTAGAGTTACCTCCAATGGAAAGTTTGTGCAAGAAATCGAGTATGGAGGTGAGTATTCAGCAAGAATCTGAGGATCTTTTTGAACAACAACAGCAATTTTTATAATTTTCTTTCTTCTTATTAGGTTCATGTCATTCCACCACCTCAAAACCTGTCCCCAAACAATCCCATTGCGGAGATATTGAAGCTCGCTATCAGGGATGAGAAATCAAAATTGGAAGCACTAAAAAAACTGCCCACTTCAGAAGAAACTCCAAATAATGAGAGTCCTAAATTGTTGTGTTCAGAAAGTGTCATTGATGGACAGCCATTGAACATTCTTGGTGATGTTGCGTCTAAAGCTGCTCCCCTAGAACAAGCGAGTGTCATACCTGAATTTCTCCAGCCAAAATCTCAGGAAGCTACTAAGTTTTTATGTGCTGAATGTCAACACTGTTCTGATAGTTTGAATGATCTCTCTCTTCATTTGACTCGATGCCAACAGGGGAGGACTGTATTTGCTGAACAGGATAGCAATGAAGTATTAGTGGCCAAACCTCCTGTTGTCTATGCTCTGGCTTCTTCACTTGCAAAACATTCCAATGAAGTTTCTAGTGGAATTCCCTACCAGTTGTGTTTTGTTCCTCCCATCAATGTGGGCTCCTCTACACTGGGACCTGTATCTGTATGTAACAATAGTTCAGAACAGACTGTTGTACCATCAATTAATGTCAGTACATCTGTGTCATTACCCCAGGCATCTAGAAACTTACTAGCAACCAGTATTTCTTCAACATCTCTAAGTGATATTAGCAAAAATAATGTGGATAATAATATGGAATCAACAGAAAATTTAGTGCCTGTAACAGAATTTAATGGGGGATCAAGACTGCCAATAGATATTATGTCACTGAATGTTTTAGATACTTCCAACACATCTCAGTTGGAGTTTTTAGACGCTTCAAATTTTATATTTCAAGAAGACTTTTTAATCAGAGAAGAAACATGCAAAATATATGACCTAAATGAGCCATCTGCATCCTTTACTACATCAAATGCTGTTTCATTGAATGACGGTCGTGTGGTGAGCAATGTTTCTATGTGTTGACTATCTCATGACAATTTATCTCAAAATGTAATATGTGTTGTTTTGTTTTTTAGGAGAGTTTAAAGGAACAATCTTCCCCCTATAATTGCCCAAAAACTATGTTATTGGGTGCTGATGGAATGAAAGTTAGTCAGTTGTTGTCGTCTGGTCTAGAGGTGGTCTCACCAAATTTGCCTGACAATCCCAAAGCCTTAAATGATTCTGCTTCTTGTTTTCTTGAGAGCACACCACCCGAATTGGTTTCATCGTTACCTACGTTACCTGCTACCAACTGTGGCACCGTTGTGCAGCCAGATGAGAATCAAACTCACTGCAGTCCTGAGAATTTAAAAATCATGCAAATTTGTAAAAAAGCAAAAACTGACTCAACCAACCCAATTGATGGAGAAAGGAACTCCTTAAAATCAGAAATAGTTAAATCAGCAAGTTGTACTGAGTGTGTTTGCTTGACATTATTTAAAATGTAAGGAAAGATAAAAATTAAAATATTAATTTTGTATTAATGTTTCTAGGGAGAAGGCTAATCATGTGTGTCCGGAATGTGGCAAGCAACTTTCATCTGCCTCTACTTTCAAGAGACATCTCGAAATCCATTTTGGTCAGTGCCATTCTGATTTTACCTCTAAATGTGCTGTGATTTTCTATCCCTCAAAATTTTTATAGCTGTTAAATATTTATTTCAGGGGGCAAACCACATATATGCTCATATTGTGATAAATGCTTCAGATATAAACACAACCTTACTGTTCATATTCGTTCTCACACAGGTGTGCGACCTTTTGACTGTCCGACCTGTAAAAGAAAATTCAGGTAAGAGTTTTAATGAAATGAAAAACACTCTTATTCTTGTTCTTTCTGAATTTGGAAGAGAAGCTGAGTTAAAAACTGTGTTGTAGGTATCTGTCCGAGCTTAATGAACATAGACTGTCTCATAGTGGATCAAAATCATTCTCATGTCCAGAATGTGGTCAACAGTTTGCACGTCAAAGAGATCTCCGGCGACATTCTCTTTCTCACAGACAAAGCGAAAAGTGGGTATCTATCACTTGTGAACCTTGTCTGAAACCTTGTCAGAAATTTAGTCAATGTTTCTCAATTTCAATTTTTTTCCTCCCATTTTTAGACCGACGTGTGATATATGTCAGAAAATATTTTCTCGTGTAGATTATTTGAGAAGACACATCAAAGCTCATAAGTCATCAGCCATCATGGATGGTGAAGGTGAGTATTGTCAGGTCTTTCTAATTGCTACCAAAGACTTTTCACTAATTTCCATTTGTTCTCTTGATCTATCAGAGTCTTCATCATTGAAGACCGCCAGAAATCAAGTCATGAAGAAATCCGGAACACAGGACAAAATTCAAGCAGAAGTATCTCATAGCCTGAAGAACATACCAAGTGGTTCCATTAAATCTGTTCCTGAATCATACAAATCACGGAAAGCTAACTCAACTTTAGTTGTTAAAGATTGTACTTCCGATGATTTGATTAGTTTAGCATACCAAGCTGCAGAGGATGGAGTAGAATTCATGTTTGTTGAAGAAGTCAATGCCTGCGCTTATGAGCAGGACATCGAAGTCACTAGCTCAGAAGTGGAAGGCAATTTTATGTATGTTCAAAGCATTGACCCAAATGAAGTAAAGATTTGAATACAAACTATGTGCTGTTGTTGATACAAAATAAAAAAACCAAGACTTGTTTACATTTTACAAAAAATTATCTGGACGTTTTTTTAGGCTGATAAAAACATGGGAGCAGATTTAGAGGGAGTGTGAGAGTCAATGGAGGGAAGGACCACTGCGACTCGCCGCACCCGACCAGCAAGGAGACAGCCAGTCGGGCTGTGGCGGTCATCTCAATCAAGAAACAACTAGCTGATGCCAACAACAAGGTTCTCTTTACACAAAAATGTGAGTACAAGTTAATCGTCCCCTAGAGCTTTTCACGCTCTCTTCTTCAGTGGCGCATCCAGAGCCGGCCTGAGGGAGAGGCAAGGTGGCAGTGTGGCAGTCACAGCGGCGAAGTGTGGCTGTTTGCCTATCTTCCAGAGGCCTAGCGGGTGAATTGTCTCGTTGTCCCCCATCTTGGCCCACACTGGGGCCCTGGTGTACCTGGGGATGCTCCCGTTGGGTGCTTCGAAGAGTGTAGTGGGGGTTGGGGCTGTGCCGCTCCGGCGTCCGCTCCGGGGCCCGGCGTTCCGCCCCCGCCCCCTCCCCCCCGCCGCCCGGAGCCTCCAGGCCCCGGCCTCGCGTGCGGCCGTCCGGGCCGTTCGGCGCGGAGGCGTAGCCGCGGCGTAGCCTCGCACCAGTCTCCCAGCGAGTGCGCAGCACAGCGCAGCGGCGCGGCCCCAGCCAGAGGGCCCTACCCCCAGCCAGTGGGCAGCCCGTCGGCAGCCAGCGGCAGCCAGCCACTAGACGCACGGCGACGCTCGGCACCGCGACGCGCTGGGACGGCACGGGTCGTCGGGGACGCGCAGGGACGCACGGCGTCGCGGCGCCCGCCTAGCCTCGCCGCCCCCACCGAGGGGCCCCGCGCCGCGCCCCGCCACGCCTCGCCGCGCGGTGATTCCCCGCCCAGGATGTGACGGCTGGAGGCGCCGTCGTCGCGGTCCTGGTCGCGGACCTGGTCGCCCCAGCCCGGGGGCTGCTATGCGCCGCCCCGGCCTGCCGCCTGTCTCGCCTGTCTCGCACGCCCTGCGAGTCTGAGGTGAGTCTGCGTCTGCGCTCGTCCGCGTGCTACCAGAGGGGTGCATCAAGCAAGGTGCACGCGGGTGCATCCAGGAGCACCAAAATGCAACCAGGTGCACCAAAATGCATCCAGGTGCACCAAAATGCAGCCAGGTGCACCAAAATGCAGCCAGGTGCATCATTTGACACGCGCACTCTCAATGTGCGCAGCTTCGCGCGAAATGAAGCGCATAGATTTTAAAATGCACGCACGAGTGCGTAGGCTAAGCAGGAAACGACGCCAATTGTTGCAGCACTTTGTGCGTTGTTGCGTGTGAATTCCAAAACAACTGCATATGTAGTAATTTAGCGTGCGCGGGAGAACCCGTACATTCCCCCCCTCCTCACACACACACACACACACACACACACACACACACACACTCACACACACTCATGAGTCACGTCGACGTGGCGCCCTCCCTCGCCGATGTCGGCACATCCCCAACGCCGCCAAACGCCATTATCACTAGTTAACGGAGTCGCTTGATTGTCCGTTTGAGGACTAACGACCGCGGACGGAGGACGGAGCAGCCTAGCGAGCAGGGGCGTCAACTTGGGGCCGCGCTAAACCGTGAGAGGTACTTCCCCCTGCTCTACTTCCGCGCTCCGCGCCGCCTTGGTCCTTGCGTCCTGCGTCCTTGGTCCGTGGTCCTTGCGTCGTTGCGTCTTTGGTCCTTGCGTCCTTTGTCCTTACGTCGCCTTACGTCCTGGGTCCTTGCGTCCTTGGTCCTTGCGTCCCTGGGTCCTTGCGTCCTCGGTCCTTGCGTCCTCGGTCCTTGCATCCTCGGTCCTTGCGTCCTCGGTCCTTGCGTCCTCGGTCTTTGCGTCCCTGGGTCCTTGCGTCCCTGGGTCCTTGCGTCCTTGCGTCCTCGGTCCTTGCGTCCCTGGGTCCTTGCGTCCGTGGGTCCTTGCGTCCTCGGTCCTTGCGTCCCTGGGTCCTTGCGTCCTTGGTCCTTGCGTCCTTGGCACCTGGTCCTTACGTCCCTGGGTCCTTCCTTGGGTCCTTGGGTCTTTGGTCCTTGTGTCCTTGGGTTCTTGGTCCATGGCCCTTCGTCCTTGGTCTTGCGTCCTTTGGTCCTTGGGTCTTGTCCTTGATCCTCGGTCCTTGCATCCATGGTTCTTGCGTCCTCGGGCCTTGGGCCATGGTCCTTGTTGATTCCTTGGTCCTTGCGTTCTTGGTCCTTACGACGCAGCGTCGCGAGGCGCGAAGGACGCATTTTGTCGTTACGCTAAAAGCCGCGGCCGAGCGGAGTGTCTTTATCAAGGGCCTTTCCGGCCGTCCCTGCTGCTTCGCCCCTTCCGCGGGGGGAGGGGGAGGGGGGCGGAAGCCGGAAGCTGTAAGTGATAGGAGTTTAGAAGGGGGAAGGGGGGAGGGGAGAGTCCGCCCATAGGCGCCTTTATCGGGATCCTCGACGCGGCGCAGCACCGCCAGCACGCACCGCAAGGGCCGAGGGTCGCCGCGGGCCGGCCCAGCCTCGGACCCAGCGGCCAGCCGTTTGGTCGCTGTCTCTGTCGCACTCATGCGGCGCCCCGTGCCTCGGGTGAGAGGCAGACAGAGTGACCACACGACCGTTCGGAACTGCTCGCCGGGTCCACCCGCCGGCCTACCCTGAGGCGCCCTGAGGCTGCACGGCGCTGGCTGCATGGCCGGATAGGGGGCGGAACCAGGGGCGGAAGGGGGTAAGGGGTGGGGGTGTGGTGCAACACTGGGTAGCAGGTAACAGTGCCACGGGTCGTTACGTGCGAGCCGGGATGGCCTGGCCGGGGGCTGTACAGCGAGAACAGACACCGCACTACGCGGCACTACGCATACTCGCTCTGCCTCCTCTCCGTGTGTGAAGGAGGGAGAGAGGGAATGGGAGAGGAGGCCCTGCAGTAGTGCTGCTCTCTATCAGGGACTCACTGTACTTCGCCGTTAATCCTGATTTACTCCCCCTTTCGTCCCTTCCCCCTTTCCCCGTCGAAATCTCCCCCCCCCCTGTCTGGCTCGCCGTCGGTCAGGTGAAGTGGGGGAAAGGGGTGGGGTGGGCAGTTGTGCGGGAGAAGAATGTTCACGACTCAGCGGGACAGCGCTTGGGATTTAGGAGTGGGATTTAGGAACGGGAGGAAGGGGGAGGGGAGGGGAGGGGAGCTAAAGCCCTTGGGTCAGACGGTTGAGAAAATGGGAGTTCGCTGTTATTAAAGCCACGGGTCTCATGGCGGATGTTGCGCGAACAGGTGGGTCGGACCTGGTCGGACCGACGGACTTTGGGGGACTTCCACAGGTCCTGAGGCACGCCGAATGGCGCCGCACCGCGCCGAACTGTCCGGAGGAGGGCACGTCGGCGCGCGGGCGATGATGATTCGGAACAGCTAGATTTCCCCCGACGCTACCCTGCCCTGCCCGCCGGCCGCCTCTGGGCTCGCCGTGCCGCCGTCGCGGACCCATCGCCGCGACGGACCCATAATGGGGCGCCAATTTTGGAGGCCACGCGCACCGCCGCCGCCGCGCCACTTTGTATCCTCTTTCGAGGACCCGGACGAGGTCCCCGATCAGGCCCTCCAGGAAGAGGTCTTCGGGGGAGGTCCTAGGAAGTGGTTCCAGGATGTGGCTCCGAGATGAGGGCCAGGACGGAGGCGGACGAAGGGTTCATCCAGGACGACGAGGTCCAGGACGACGAGGTCCAGGACGACGAGGTCCAGGATGGTGGGGTCCTGGACGACGAGGTCCAGGATGGCGGGGTCCAGGACGACGATGTCCAGGACGACGATGTCCAGGACGACGATGTCCAGGACGACGAGGTCCAGGACGACGAGGTCCAAGACGTAGAGGTCCAGGACGCAGAGGTTCAGGACGCAGAGGTTCAGGACGACGAGGTCCAGGATGATGAGGTGCAGGATGACGGACGAGGTCCTGGACGGTCGTGGACAAGGAGGTCCAGAACAGCGGCGTCCAGGACAGCGGAGTCCAGGACGACGAAGTCCAGGACGGAGGTCTACGACAGCGAAGTTCTAACGGCGGAGCCCAGGATGGCGACAGGACGAGGCAGGTCGTTCCAGTGGCGGATCCAGAGCCCCCCTTTGGGGAGGGCAAAGTGGAACTTTTTGCCTACTTACAGGGGTGAAGTGTAGGGTTTTCGGGGGGGGGGGGAGGCAAAACCCCGTTGCCCCCTTGCATCCGCGCCGAGGCCTTCCCCGCCGAAGGTTCGGGTCGCTTTATGGCTCGGCCTGCTCCGCGGCTCCGCGGCACGTCTGCCGGCACGTCGCGGACGTCGCGTCCTCCGTCAGGCGTCGCCCGGAATACGTGTTGACGGAACGGCGCGGCGAGACGGGCAGCCGCGCCACTCGTAAAACCTGGCCTTGGCTGCGTTCGGATACACCGGCATGCCCTGGGCCTCGCCCTGGGCATGCCGCGGCACCAGGCAAGCTGCAGGCAACGGGGGAAGCGCTGATCATCCTGAAAACACGTAGCGTTGGTGGCGGGGCGGGGCGGGGTCACCGGGTGTCGCCCTCTCCTGAGTTCGGCCGTTCGGCGCTGACCCCGCAGTGCCGAGCGATTCCGAAGAGTCGTTTTGTCGCTCTGTCTCTCTCGCACGCTGACGAGCCTGAAGGGTCGCTCCATGAGTGCGACAGAGACAGAGCGATGTCATAACGACTCTTCGGAATCAGTTCGGTGCCCCCTGCGTCCGCCAGGCACGTGACCCCAGCGCAGCCCCCCCGCCCCTTTCCCCCGATGAAGTTAAGCGATGCGTCTTGTGAATGTGAGCTGCCGAGCTGCTCTGGGGAAGGCTAGAGCCCTGTGGAATGGCGGCGGAGCGGTGGAACGAGGGGCAGGCAGGCAGGCCGGGCCGACAGGCAGTGGAGCACACGGCTCGGATTCATAGAGCAAGACTAATGCAAGAGTCTGCGCGTGGTCGTGAAGGGGAGGGGGAGTTTCCCTCCGCACCGCCGTCCCTGACAGCCCAAAAGACAAGGAAGTACAAATGCAGTATGTCTTGTTCGTGTCTTTCGTGTGTCTTTCTGTCATTTTAATGTCGTACCGGACATTTTCCTTGTCCAGCCCTTGTCCATATTTTGCCATTGTACTTTGTGTGTCCCTTTCGTGTCTTTGTCGACGTCTTTATTTTGTCCATAAGTGCCCTGTCCCAATATTGCCCTTAGGAACTTGTCCTGAAAATGTTCTCCCCTTGTCTTCCTTGTCCTTACTGTGTCTTAGCTTGTCATTCGAGAAAATGTTCCTGCGGAGTCCTCAGATTGTCATAGGAAAGTTGTCTTAAATATGTCCCCCCTTGTCTCCCTCGTCCTGTGTCCAAGCTTGTCATTCGAGAAAATGTCCCTGCGATGTCCGGAGATTGTCCTCGCAAGCAGTTGTCTTTAAATTGTTTTTTTCTTGCCCAGGCTTGTCCTTGGATGCAATGTCTTAGAAGTGTCTCCAGATTGTCTCCAAAAACTTGTCACTCTTGTGTCATACGAGTCCCTTGAGTAATGTCTTTGCAGTGTCATTGGGTTGTCCTCAAGAGGTTGTACCCGAAATGTCCTCCCATTGCGTATTCCATCATGTGTTATCCTTGAAGGAAATGTCTTCATAGTGTCATCCCTTGTCCTAATAATGTTCCCCGGGTGGTAGGAACGCAAGACTCAACACATGTGTTGTTACTCATTTGAAACCCAGCATGTGTTTAGTATCACGTCCTCAACTCCCAACATTCTTGGGGTACTTTGAAGACATTTCCTTCAAGGACAATCCTGGGACACAAAAAAGACACGGTCCTAGCATCTCTAGAGGAGTTACTTTCGCACTCCGACTAGCTGTCGTTGCACAGAGCAATGGGTACAGCCTCTGCCTCCCAACCTCGAGTTCGTGGTTCAAATCCCCAATGTCGATACATTTTTTTTTGTCTGAAGGACAAAGAAAAGGAAAGGACAAGAAAAGGACAAAGACATAATTGGGGCAATATGTCCTGTCATTTTGTTTCAAACTAGGGACATTGTCCATTGTCCTATGAATGTCTAAATAGGGGTTGTCCTGAGCTTGTCTTTTGGGCTGTCAGGGGTGCCGTGCCGTGCCGTGCCGTGCCGTGCCGTGCCGTAGTCGTTGCCCCGTCGTTGCATTCATCTCCATTTACTCAATTCAATTTTCGTGGCGCTGCGCGGCGGCTCGCCTCGGCGGCGCGGCTCGGCCCAACTCCCTGCTCGGCGCGCGACTCGAAAACTTCCCCGGTTATCTTGTCATGTTGCTGTTAAGTTGCGGCGGGGACCACCCCGTGGCCGTGGAGGCCTTGGTGGAGGCAAGGCGGTCTCGGCGGCGTGGGCGAGGTCGCGGCGGCGGTAGCAGCTGCGGCCCGGCGGGGCGGGGCTCGGCGAGGCCCCTCTGCAGGGAGGCCTCTCTGCCTCTCAGCAGGCGCAACTAGTAATTCTCAAGCGGTGTCCTGCCGCGCCGTCGTGTCTTGCAGCGCTGGGCCGTGCCTTGCCGCGCCGTGCCTTGCCTTGTCTTGCCGCGCCGTGTCTTGCCGCGCCGTGCCGTGCCTTGCCGCGCCGTGCCGTGCCTTGCCGTGCCGCGCCGTGTCTTGCCGCGCTGGGCCGTGCCTTGCCGCGCCGTGCCGTGCCTTGCCGTGCCGCGCCGTGTCTTGCCGCGCTGGGCCGTGCCTTGCCGCGCCGTGCCGTGCCTTGCCGTGCCGCGCCGTGTCTTGCCGCGCTGGGCCGTGCCTTGCCGCGCCGTGCCGTGCCTTGCCGTGCCGCGCCGTGTCTTGCCGCGCTGGGCCGTGCCTTGCCGCGTCGTGCCTTGCCGTGCCGTGCCTTGCCGTGCCTTGCCGTGCCTTGCCGCGTCGTGCCTTGCCGTGCCGTGCCGTGCCTTGCCGTGCCTTGCCGTGTCTTGCCGCGCCGTGCCGTGCCGTGCCTTGCCGTGCCTTGCCGTGCCGTGCCGCGCCTTGCCGTGCTGTGCCTGCCACCCCGGACCTCGCCGTGTCCTGCCTTGCCGCGCCGCGCCGCACTTTGCCGCGCGCCCTACCTCCAGTGCCCTAGCAGGCCCCGCTAGGTCGTCGCTGGCTGTGCCCTCGCCAGCGAGCGGCCTGGAGGCCCGGAAGACGAGAAGCCGGCCGAGTGGAGCCGCGGGCAATGAGATTCGTCGACTCAATAAACCGAAGGGAATCGGACTAAAGGCCGCGGCGCCGCGGCGTGTCGCGGTGCGTCTCGCGGGCCGCCGCCAGACTGAGTCCGCGCACCGCTCGCATCGCTCTGT